TGTATATATATATTATGTATATATAATTATTGAAGCATATAAATAATATATATATGTTTGCTGTGTGGAATTATTTGTATTTATTAATTTGGATTTTTTGATTGTTGAAAACATTTCTCTCGATAGGATTAAAAAGTTATAATAATTTTAATTAATATTGATAATTAAAATACGATACACATATGTATATATAATTTCAAATAAATAATAGTTTGTATATTACCTAAATTTATTACTTATTCTTTTTATCTTTTTTTAGAGAATATAAATCGTCACCAAATCCAATGAAAGAGAACTACCTGTTGAGCGTTTTTCTAGGTGATATTATTGGCAGTCCAAGACTTTGTCATCAACTGGTAAAAAGAGGAAGGGCTTGCAACGATAATACCTTACCAGAATAGTGAATAAAATACCTGAATGTTACGTGAGTGGTGAAAGAAATCGTGTGGTTTCGCAAGGATTGTAAATATTTTAATGCCATGAACGTTGCGTTGATCATTTACCGATTTTTTTTCCTTCTCTTTAACGTCAACAAAATTTACTTTTTTTTTATTTCATGATTTTTTTTCTATCTTGTTGATATATATTTATCTGTGTACATTATTCATATATATGTAACCTTTTTTATAATACAATAACGTGAAAAAAGGGTTTACAACGTGATAAGGTGAAAAAAAAATTGCAACATATATTCTAAATCATGATATTATAATACAGTTGCATTCTGCAACATGATTTTTAAATAAATTAATGACAGTAAATATTTATAATGTGCACGCGAATATTATTTTATTTCCTAACTCGTATCTGTTACTTTATTTGGTTTTCACTTTAATTAATTATCCGTAGTAGAAATCTCTTAGAAATGTGTGCACTTTAATAATTATGTCGAAGAAATGAAACTAAGATAATAATATATTATACTTAAACATATAATACGATATATAATTATATTAACATTAAATTCATTTCAAATCATATCTATATATAATTGTTATTATATTTTTATACAAAAATTCTCGTAGTAATTTAAATTAAATGTGAGAATTCATTTAAATACATTTAAAACAATAATAATAATAACTCGATCGTGTTATGAAACAAAAAAAAAGAGTGTTAAGTGGTGTATATATTTATTTGTAATATATTATTATTATTCCTATTGTATAATAATTATAATATTTGATTAAAATGTTTGGTTATAATAAAACGTTCATGTTTTCAGTAAAAAAAAAAACAAAAAAAATAGAAACAAGTTTAATAAGAGTGTACAATAATAATATTATCTTATTCTTATTAGTTTTCTAATCAACCTTATAAGTTTCTATTGACATTTAAACGCGTTCTTCTTCTTCTTCTTCTTCTTCTTCCGGCGTGGGTTTAAAACATGTATAAAAAGATGTACGTGTATGTAGGTCTACAAACGGAGTGAGAGTAGAGTCGTCGTCGTTTTCCACCAATAACATTTCTTCTTCCTACATACATGCATACATACATTCATAGTTTGCTATGAACGATCGTGAAATTCAAACTGATGATGAAGAAACAGTTTCAAAGAAAGCGTCAGTTCGTGCGGAACTATGCGTAGACGATTCCATCGTAGATTTTTGTTTATTCAATCACACAAATATTTAAATATCTCACGAATTTGTTTATTCGTATATTTATTTTAATATATCATAAGTTTGTGAGTATATTTAAATATATTTATAATTCGTTAACGTTTGATGTGACGTGTTTGTAATAGAAAAAAGTATGTTCGTAAAATTTGACCTAATTTTTGTCCTGGCTATCATGTTAGTTCAAGGTCGTTCTATAAACGATTCTTTAAAAAAAGAATCGTACGATAACGCGTGTGATTTTGATTATACTAGAAAAATCTACGATTCGATAGATTTATTTAGGTAAGATTTTCATACATATTGTATGTGTAGGTGGGAATTATTTTATATTATTGTGAAATTATTTATTAATTGATATTAATCTAATTATTTATACAGATGCATAAACGAGATAGCATCGAGGTCAGAAATTCGTGAAATTCATGACGAATCGAGAAAGAATGAATATTTTGACCGACCTTATTCGAAAAACTCTCCTTGGGCTGATTTAATCGCATCCTTATTCAATGGTGAATCGAATAAGGTAAATTACATTTAATTGACATTATTTTTTTTCGACCCACGAACAAAATTTATCGACTTTCACTTTGACCATAAAGTCGAGCCTCTGCATCACGTAACTTTCAAAAAAATACAAAATATCGTACTGTCCTACATATTACATTTCATTTTTCGCAAATATTTCTTACACTTTTTTATACTTACAATTAATAAATTACAATACACGAACGATTTTGTTTATAATTCAATAAAATAAAATAAAATATAAATATTATTATATATAGTTTAACTTACAATTAATAAATTATAATACACGAATGATTTTGTTTATAATTCAATAAAATAAAATAAAATAAAATATAAATATTATTATATATAGTTTTACTTACAATTAATAAATTATAATACACAAACAATTTTGTTTACAATTCAATAAAATAAAATAAAATAAAGTATAAATATTCTACAGATGTAAGATTTATTAAGATAAAATATTGAAGAGAAAATTTCTAATATAAATAATATGATATATTTTGAATTTATATATAGGGTTATCAGATTCCACAATTGTTGAATACAGGATCGAGTCAGTATCAATCAAGTCAGCATGAAACTACAGTTGGTGGTGGCTTGTTAGAATCTTCGGGGGGTCTTAATATAAATCTATTCGATGCTCTTTATTCGATATCTCGTTACGATGATCTCAAGTGTGTTCCAAGAATACTTTGCGAGGTGGCGAGTGGAGTTACACCAGGAGAATCATCGATTTATGGACGTGACACCAACAACTTGTTTAATAATCTTTTTCAAAATAACGTATTATTCAAGTACGTAAAATATAAATATATATTTTCTATTAATCAATATATTAAACTATATAAATATATCAAACATAATCATTAATATTATATTTATTACCTTTGTTATATAATAGATTATTGACAAATTTCAATTTTGCCGAATCCTCACCTATTTTGAGTTTTGGAAAAGCTGCATTATTAGGATACACCAGTAAAAGTAATCCTAATAATTGTTATCAAGAATATCCAAAATGTCCTAGGAATCCTGATCAATTGATTTACTATCTTAATAATCACAATGGTGGATTCTTTAGATATTTTAATAAATTCAATCATGGAAATAATCTTTATAACAAACCATACGTTGTTACTCAAAGTGAGTATTTTATTCTCTGTGATCCTAAAAATAATTTAATATATAATTGATCGTAATTATTTTTTTATATATTATTGGATTGTCAGAAAAGTTCGTGCTGATTTATAAAAATTATTTCGGAACAATACTCTTTTATTTGTTAATTTAATAAATAATACAAAACATTTATAAACTTGTACGAACTTTTCGAGAAAAAAATCTATAATATATATATTACACATTATATATTTAAATATAGTATATTATTATAAATAATTTATTTTCTAGAAAATAACGAATACCTGAATCATAATCGTTTGCATAATAAAAATCAAGCAAATATTGATTTCTCTCCTATGGGAAAACTTCAATTTAATATTGATAATGTGAACGATACACGATATTACGAATCACGAATACGAAATCAAGTAAATCGTGTTGTATTTCCTGACGATGATGAAGAATCCACAAAATTCGTTGACACTTCGAATAGATTGCCTAAAACTTTGTTTGATTTCGAAGCCATTGACGATAACGATGATGTTCAGCAAAATGATTCAAACTTTTTCCCTCGGGTAACGAAAAAAAAAAAAACCAAAAATATTTATACGTATATAATAATTCATGAAATTATTTAAAATAATACTTACATTTTTAGGAACAAACAACGGAAGAAAAATATGAACAATCTAATCTGCTTTATAGTTCGTCTCAACAATCCTCAGAATCTTCGTTGAAAACTTTCGTATTTCCAGACGATTGAAGTAGTATTGTTCTCGAAGTTTCCTTCTTCGAGATTACTCACTAACAATTTTCAATGAGGAACATAATCGATCTAGAATGATCGATTGGAAGTATCATAATCAAAGGAGATATCATTCCTTACGATATTGCAAACTTCATTTAATCACAATTTTATCAAGACTACGACAATAATGTTTTATTGAAGAGTCTGATAAAATTGTCAATTAGTTTAACTCTGTTATCTGTATTTCACTCATAGAAATTAATTGACGATACCCAAAAGAATATATGAAAATTATTTTTAATTTAGAAGTAATTTATTAATTATACTTTATTATTTATTATACTTTCTATAATATGTTTTAATATTGATAAATAATATAATTTCGATTAAAAATACTTTCATTTTTACTTACACACACATATATATATTAAAACAACCATAAGTGACTGATAGAAAGTGTTTCCTGAATCGCCTGAAATTCGGCAGCCCGAATCACTCCGACGTGTATAGGTTTTGAAGTAATCACGGGGAATTTTTCTATAAACGAATGACACTTTTCACTTGCAACAGACAAATTGCAATTCTAGTATTATTATTTTATTTCAAAGATCGGTAAGATTGTCGCACAAGGTAGATTCACGTGAGAGAATTGTCGGATGTATCGATCCAATGTAGATAAATTTCTGGGAACAATAAAGCAACGAAGATAACAGAGCAAAAAGTAGTCGCAAGTGATCGACACGTGTTTTAGATTAGCGTTACAACGAAACTATGGAAAATAACACGAAAGATGTGAAATTTAATTTTCATCTTTACGTGAGAAACAATGACAAATTAATGTACCATTAAATAAATTCAATCAAAATTTCATCTGACAATCTCATCGTTGTATTTCGACAAATTTGATTCGTAATTAAAATTTCCTATCAAACGTAAACTTTACGTGTGTCTGATTCGTACTGGTATATATCAAACATATTTAACACGTGTCTGACTCGTGATCAATTTTTTACTTGATACAAGTAAACGAATTAAACATTCATTATTATTCGAGATACTTTTTCTTTTTTTTTTTTAGTAATTGAAGAAAAAAAAAATGATAAGTAAATGTAGAATGAACGTTTCTATTGGTTCAGGGGTGTCACGAAGCGTGTAACGAATCTTTATACCACGTTTCATTCGCTAACATAGAATATCACGCGGCATTGGATGTATCAGAAGGGTAATTGTCTTCCGCTGTCAGTTGCACCCTACTTGGCCCTGTCCAGGGCACACGCCCCTTCGGGCAACGATTCCATCGTGACCTCGTCCAGGACGATCTACTTCTCTCCCTCCCACCCCACCCCATTCCACCCCGAAGGTTTCAACTCACAGTCGACACCCTTCTCGAAATTAAACGGCAGAAAGGATCAAATAATTAGATTCCTTTTTTCTTAATCTTATTTCTATTTGTTTTACATGAAAAATTTATTTTATAATTTTTAATT